AAACCTAAAACTATAAAGTTCCTCAAGAAAAAAGAGGGACAAATTTAGGGGCCTTTATTGATGGCATAAATAGACTATCAAGCATAACCAAAATGCACAAACAGCAGAAGAGAAACTAGATGAATTGGACCTTCTGAAAATTAAATTTTTATGTGCTTCCAAAGACTTCTCCAAAAGAGTAAAAAGAGAACCTAGAGATTGGGAAAAAATATTTGGCAATGATATATCTAACAAGGGACTTACCTCTAAAATGTATAGAAAACTCCAGCACCTCAACAAAAAAAGACAAATAATCCAATTCAAAAATGGGCAGAAGACATGAATAGACACTTCACCAAAAAGGATATCCAGGCAGCCAATAAACACATGAAGAAATGTTCATGATCATTAGCCATTAGAGAGAAGAAAATCAAAACAATAAGATACCATCTCAACCCAGCACTAATGGCAAAGTTCAACAAGACAGAAAATAACAAATGCTGGTGAGGATGTGAATAGATTGGGACTTTCATACACTGCTGGTGGGACTGTCAAATGATACAATGACCATGGAAAGCAGTATGGCAATTCCATAAAAAGCTGGAATTAGAAATACCATTTGACCCTTCCATTCCATTACTAGGTATATATCTTAAAGAAGTGAGAGCCAAGACAAGAACAGATATATGCACACCCACATTCGTCGCAGCACTATTTACAATAGCAAAAAGATGGAAACAACCTACGTGCCCATCAACAGAAGAACGGATAATCAAACTATGGTACATACACACAATGGATACAATGCAACCCTAAGAAATAACGTAGATTCGGCAAAACACTGCATAACGTGAATGAACTTGGAAGACATCATAAGTCTGAGTGAAATAAGTCAATCACAGAAAGACAAATATTGTATTAGTCCATTATTATAAAAAGTCAAGGAAAGGTTTATATATGGAAGGAATTTTCTTGGTTGATTACCAGGGGTGGGAGGGGAGGGGAGGGAACACTGCTAGATAGGCAGAAACAAGTATTGATTTGGGTGAAGAGAAGGGCAATGTACCAAATATAAGTGATCAAGATGGTGGCACTGAGGAAGAGGAAGACATAGAGAAGTACATAGGAGGTACAGACAATAAAGATAAACCCTTTTGCACATACAGTAAGTACTGTGTTGTCAGTGATGCCAAACATCAATCGACAGTGGATAAATGGTGGACAGGCTAAATGATTAGGTATGTCTATGCAGGGAGAAGTGTGCCCAAGACCATATACAGGATTGGCAGACAACGTCTTTACAAGTGTACTGGTGTTTTCTGTAAGAATTCTCAGGTATATAGTAGAGCTGACGAGGAACAAGGTTGTAGTCACTTCTTGGCCACAGCCAGCTACCCAGAGGAAGTGAGTAGTTGGACCTGTGGGCTCGGGACCATAGTCGCAGGGGACATCAAGCTCAACTGGCATAACATACTACACAAAACATTGTTCCACATCCTCCTTTGCCGAGTAGCGACTGGGATCTTAAAAGCTTGCAAGCAGCCATCTACATGCAACAATGGGTCTCTCCTCATCCAGAGGGAAGAAAAATGAAGGACAAGCAAAGACGCATGGAAACAGTAAGTCCAAGTGACTAGTACACCATGCAACCCTCAGCCTATATGACTATAAGACAAGAAGAACTAGATGATGGCCAGATATCACTGTCAACCACTCGGAGGGAGATCTATGTAGGAGATCCTGGATAGAGTGGGAGAATAAACTCAAAACTTAAAAATAAATAAATAAATAAGGGGGGGACCAGGTTTGCTGGTCTGATAAGAGTGTGGTGAAACCCCTGAGACAATGGCCCCTAGCTGCCCTTCAGGTCTGGAAGTGAACCCACTCTGTGGCTTCTAGACAAACAAAAGACAGGCATACGAGCTGAACATTTACATTAGGTAGATACATTCCTTGGAGAGATCAATCATGGGAGAAAGAAGGGCTGTTTATGCACAGGGAGACAGCTCAGGGGGCAGGAGTGCATTGAGAGAGGGACACAGGGAAGAAGTAACTATGGTGAGGAAGTGGGAGGGGAACTGTTGCACTGTGGTAATTTGTAGTCAATGTCATGAGACAAAATGTATATGAACTGCTGTACGGCAAATGAATTTGTTCTGTTAACTTTCACCCAGCTCACAATAAAAATTAAAAAAAAAAAAAAAAAAAGACTAGTCTTATAGCTCCTCATCTAGGTTAGATTTATCTAACTTATCCACAATTACATCATGAAGATCCTGTCAAGTTCAAATATACTGAACTATCCAAATTTCCTTTTCAGATTTTTGTGTCCTGAAATTCCAGTAATGAAAAAGCCTCAATTCTGCTTTGTATAGCTGTTTAAATACTATTTAGATACAACGAAAAAATGTCCAACTTACCCCTTTCATCCAATAGGAGATTTTCTGGTTTAATATCTCTATGGGTTATTCCAATACCATGCAGATACACCTAAGAGGTAGCAAAGGAGGAAACACCAAAATCTGGTAACTTACTTCACTTTTACTAATTTTAAGTAGAAGGGAAAACATGAGCTGTACCTACCACCCCTGCCATCAGTTGATGGAAGAACCTCTGAGCATCCTGTTCAGGCATGCCTAGGTCTGGCTCTGTAAAATAATTAAGAAAGTCAGTTTACTGGATAAATATAATCAAAGCAGGAACCACATAGTCTAGTATCAATGTTAAGCATGTATGTTTGCCATTGACAATTAAAAGAACCAGGAATCCACTTACACATATGGTACCTAATAATTCAGTTTTCCTATCTGTAAAATAGCAAAAATGAACTAACACATCACAGGAAAATTGCAGAGAGAAATAACAAATCAAGAATGCAAGCCATGGCTTACTCTTACAATAACCTTGATTTACTTGATACCCTTCAACTTCTTCCATATTTCTTCTAAATGATTTAACAATATTTTTCTCACTGCTGAAATGTAATTGCCAAAGTGCAAGCCTGGGCATGTAAGCTAATTTCACTAAAATTTGAACAATAGGTTTAAATTTCATGTAATTGCTTATACTACAAAGCCATGAATGCCTGTGAGGAAATAACCATTTATTAAGAAATACTCTGTGATTCATTAACTTTTTATATTTTGATCTCCTTCTTCAACTCTTGATTTCTTTTATCCTCAGCTCTCTTCTGATATATATATATACATATATATATATATATATGTATATATATATGCATATATATATATATAGTAGCCCCCAGTAATTGTTTTTTAATTGTTAATAGCTTTAAACAATAAACTTAGGTTCAGAAAATATATTTTATACACCTCTGAGTGCTCTGTAGTATCAATCCTCTGAATCAACACAGAACATTAAAGTACTAAACAATTTGTATTTTAAAAATCCTATAAAATTCTCAATTATTTCACTTAAGTCAATAAAGAAATGTAACATTTTTGGTTATGTAACTGCATGCTATGATTTAATGTAGCTAGAATGTATGCAAAGAAAAAATATTTAGGCAAAAAAATACATTACAATCACGGTATTTTGAACATGAAACTACAGTTTGAATATTTTTAAACTCGATAAAACAGCAATCCCAATCAAAATCACATACATAACTTGGGAAAAATGTTTTCTTTGAGTGACTCTATAAATGCTTTTATGTGTTAATTCAAGTTGCAAAAAAAGAAAGAAAATTTACTCTAATTTCACTGTTGCATAAGCAATTCTGAATAGTCAATGACCCAATACCAGACTCAAGAATAAAAAATAAATTTAGAAACTTGTTGAGTAGAATTGTTGTTATTTTGCCATTGAGTCAGCCTCAACTCATAGTGACCCCTCCTTGGGTTTCCAAGGCGGTATCACTACAGAAGTAGATTGCCCAACCTTCCTTCCGAGGAGTGGCTAGTGGGTCGAACAGCCTTAGGCACTATGCTACCAGAGCTCCTTGTTGAGTAGAATAAGCATCTTAAATCATTAGAACACTGACTTAGAACACTTTTTATCCCATACCTATTCTATCAAAAAGTTCTCCTCCACTACAGTACTCCAGAAACAGATATTGGATATTGCCTTCTCTCCTGTGGCCATAGAATTTCACTACATTCTCATGATTTAACATTTTATTGATACAGATCTCTTTCTTAATATTGTCTGGACAGTCTATGGCACGTTTCATGTCCACAATCTTCACCGCAACTGCTTCTTCAGTTCTTCTATTCACAGCAAGTTGAACTCTAAAAAGGAAAAAGAAGAGTTATAATACTCTAGACACCTACATTCTATTTTTAAAACTTCAAAACTTAAACAGGACTCAGTCTCAAACTATTTTATTATTTTTTCCACCAATAAATAAATAAAAACATAAAAACAGTTTCTGCCATGTTCTCAACAGATACTACTCTTTTCTGAAATATGAAGTAGTATGATAGCTAATGTTCCAAATAAGTTATTATGCTGTACACACAAGCCATTTAATAAATGCTTGACTAAATAAACTGAATTTGCATAAAGGCAAATCTAGCACACATCACCTATTTGTACTCATTCAATTTTCACTGTCATTGAAATTATCTGCTAACCAGAAGGCTGGTGGTTCAAATCCACCAGCCACTCCTTGGAAGGTAGGTTGGGCAATCTACTTCCATAGTGATACTGCCTCGAAAACCCAAGGAGAGGTCTCTATGAGTAGGATCCAACTCTACGGCCGTGAATTTGGTTTGGTTTATATGCCTGTGACTCCTGTTCAAAACATTTATGAGATAAATATTATTATTGCCATCATAAGATGAGGAAATAGAGACACAAAAATACAATAAGAAACTTGCCTAAAATCACAAAATAAGAACCTTAAATACATAGTGCTAAGTAGTCAGTCAGATAAAGCTACATATTGTATGATTCCAAATAACAACTTTCTGGAAAGGCAAAACTATACAGTGAAAAGTTCAGTGGTGGAGAACATGAATAGGTGGAGCACGGGGCATTTTTAGAGCAGTGAAAATATTCTGTATGATGCTGTAATGGTAGTAGACATGTGTCATTAAGTGTTTGGCAAAACCCATAAGACTGTACAACACAGAGAGAGAGAGCCTCAATATGAACTAGGGACTTTAGTTACTAATGTGTCGATACTGCTTCATCAACTGTAACAGTGTACCACAGGAATGCATGTTAATGGGAGGAACAATGTGCAAAGCAGGAAGCATAAATGGGAACTCTGTACTTTCAGTACAATTTTTCCATAAACCTAAAACTGTTCTAAAAAAAAAAGTCTATTAAAAAAAAAAAATCACAAAACAGTAACCAGCAGGTGATAAAGGTCTTGAAACCAGGCAGTCTATCTTCAAAGTCTGTTCATTTGCTCATTTAATCACAATGCTTAAATACAAGGAAGGAATATATGGGAAAGGAAACAATGATTTCAAAGGTCTCTTCCAGCTCTTTACAAAGAAAATGTAAAAGAAAACAATAATATTAATCCTTCCAAAAGATTTTGTAGCTTCAATTCCCAAAAGTTTTGGATTTCAAATGCACATATCTGTTCTCTAAAGTGCCACTATATTAGGATAAAGAACCCCAAGACAACCAACAAGAACCCAGGTAATAGACAGAAAGCTTAAGCAAGTGTGTAGGTGGGGTAAAAGAACTCGAACTCACTCTCCATAGGCACCTTCTCCCAGGGTTTGCACCAAGTCCCAGTCTTCCACAAAGGGCACTGCCATGACTCCACTAAGTAGCGGGGCTGTAAAAGGCAAGATCCCAGAAAAGCCCTGGGATGAGTGCAAGCTTCAATCACCTGTAAAACAACTGAGCTCTATCACGATTCCCCAAAATAAACAGTAGCTCTTGGTTTCTCCTTACATAGTTTATCCCAGTCTCTAAATCAAAATAAGTTCCCTAAACTTAGGCATTTTGTTGTTTAAAACAGTCCTCACGCAAACTGAGGGTTAGAATTCTGCTTATTTTAGGCCCAGAGCATATCTAATAGTTGTGTTGACGGAAGGGATGGCAGGCGGAGGACAAATGCTTTACGGTGAGTGACTGGGTAAGGGCTCAGGGGGTGAAGGGGAGGAAAGTAAAGGGTGTGAGCTAGTGGCGGGAAAAAGAACTACTGCGAATCCTGCAGTCCCTCCTTCCCAGCTTGTTGTTGTTATTTGCCATCGAGTCGGCCCCGACTCATAGCGACCCCTCCTTGGGCTTCCAAGGCAGTATCACTACGGAAGTAGGAATGCCCAACCTTCCTTCCGAGGAGTGGCTGGTGGGTTTGAACCGCTAGCCTTCTGGTTAGCAGTCAAGTGCCTTAGGCACTATGCTACCAGAGCTCCTAAGCTTACCAAGTTCCAATTCTCACCCCCACCAAGTTCGAAGAGCCGGGAGGAACCCAGGGCGGGGCCAAGCCGCCCAAAGAAGCGGAAGGAAGGGCAGGGACGCGCGGCCCCCCAAAACCTCCGGCTTTCCCAACCAGCAGAACGGCAATCCCTCCAGTACCCTTCTGAACAGGGACCCCCTGGTACCACACAAGCCACCGCACTCAACGTGACCCTTCCGCGGGAGTCTTTCCTCTCCCCTTTGCTCTTCACGGACATTTCCCTCACCGTGCCCCACCTCATAAATGTAGACCCTGAACACCATCGCCACTCCTTTCCAATCCTACCGGCCGCCCCTCCTCACCAGTCTGTCCAGTCCCGCCACCACAGGAATCCAAATGCAGCAACTTTTCCCGCCAAAACTTGCTTGCGTCACAGTGTCGCAAACGCGCGCACCCAGCGCCGTAAAGCGGAACACGCGCGGTCCCGTGCTCTGCTGCTCTAAAGATTAGCCATTTAGAAGACGAAAAGGAGTTTTTCTTCCCCTTGGTTTGAGATAGTTGGACCAGGAATACTTTGGAGTTGGCAAAGATGCTAGCTGACCGCATCCATGTGAACTGATCTCTGGGCGCTTATGTGAAATACATGTGTGAACCTCCGCAGTCCGGGTACCAGGCGCTCCTAGGCGGAAACAATATACCAAATCCTGTCTCCGGACCCAGTGCCCGCACCAGGGGCAATACCAGAAGATCGCTCTTGGCAGGAAAGGCTGGTCCTTTGTAAACCACCAGCCTGTGACCTCTGCGCACCTTGCCCAAGCTGCCCAACATGACTGTGGGGATCTTACTCAATCAGAACTGCAAAGCGCTTTAAAAACTTTATAAACTGGTGTTCAGACAATACTGTAACTGGGAATCTAGGTGAGAATTGGTACTGTGAGGAATGAAACGAACGTTGTGGTGGGAACGGGAAGCATCAAAAACGTAGTGAAGCATATCAGGATAAACAATTTTGCCTTGTCTTGTTTGTGAACAGGTCCCAAAACAAGAAATTTAGTTTAGTCCAACCTTTTCGAAAGAAGAGCACCTGTATAGCTTAGTTCTACCACCTTTCTCATTCTAAATGGGTAAGAAACAGGCAGATGAAGGCCAAAAAGCCTTAATTTTACAATACAAATGAAAAAAGTAACCACTTTAAGTGTTGTTAGATGCCATCCAGTAGGTTCCGTCTCATAGCAACACTGCACAATAGAAGGAAACACTTTCCAGTCCTGTCACCCTCACAATTGGTGGCTGTTTAAGCCCACTATTGCAACCACTGAGTCAACCCTCACTGAGGGTCTTCCTCTTTTTCTCTGACCCTCAATTTTATCAACCAAGCATTATGTCCTTCTTCAAGGACTGGTCCCTCCTGATAACATGTCTAATGTACATGACACAAAATTCTCACCATCCTCACTGTACTTCTTCCCAGATTTGCTGATATTCCTGGCAGTCCATGGTATAGTCGATATTCTTTGCCAACACCATCATTCAAAGGCATCAATTTTTCTTGAGTCTTCTTTATGCATTGTCCAGCTTTTGCTTGCATCTGAGGGGACTGAAAATATCTTGGATCATATGTATTTTTGTCCCCAAAGTGACATCTTTACTTTTCAACACTTTAGTCTTTTACATTTGCCAATCTAATACGTTGTTTCATTTCTTGACAATTGCTTCCATGGGTGTTGATTGTGGATCCAAGTAAAGCAAAATCCTTGTCAACTTCAGTAGTTCCTCTGTGTATCGTGATGTTACTTATCAATCTCATTTTGAGGATTTTTGTTTTATGAACAGGTGTAATCCATTCTGAAAGCTATAGTATTTGCTCTTCATTAGTAAGTGCTTCAAGTCCTCTTAAGTGTCAGCAAGCATGTGTGTGTCAACTGCATATTGCAGGCTGTTGAGTCCTCATCCAATCCTGATGCCACATTCTAATTCATATAGTCCAACTTCTTGGATTATTTGCTCAGCATACAGATTGAATAAATATGGTGAAAGGATACAAACTGACACACACTTTTCCCAATTTTCAACCATATACAGTATCCCCATGTTGTGTTCAAGTGACTCTTGGTCTATGGCTCCTCATAAGCACAATTATGCATTCTGGAAATCTATTCTTTGAAATATTATCTATAATTTACTATGATCCAGTCAAATGATTTTGCATCGTTAATAAAACACAGGTAAATATCTTTGTGGTATTCTCTGCTTTCAGCCAAGATCTAGCTGATATCAACAATGATATCCCTTTTCCACATCCTCTCTGAATCCAGCCTGAATTTCTGGAAGTTTCCTGTTGGTGTACTGATGCAATCGTTTTTGAATTATCTTCAGCAAAATTTTACTTATGTTTGATACTACTGATATTGTTCAATAATTTCCTCATTCTGATGGATCACCTTTCTTTGGAATGATTTACGTAGGAAAAGTCAATTCTGAGCAAAGAGACTTGCTTCAGAACCAAAACCAATCATCTGGGAAAAGTGAAATAAGTATTCCTCCCCAGTAGTAAACTAGACTGGAAATTCAAGGCACGTGCAATATCATTTCCATTATATTCTCCAGTCCTCAAAATTTCGCCACATATACTTTGCATAATGAACTACTGAGTATGGTATTAGTCAAAACACTAAAATGTTACACCAAAAACACGTATATCTGTTTTAAAGAAGCAAAGTCAGGGACAGAAATCAAGAATAGAACACTTCAAAACACAGATGCTTCAAGTTTTAACCATGACATCAGTTAGAGCTTCACATCGTTTTACACCTTTTTCTCTAGTTTCCTCACTGTGCTGCAAAGAAAGAATATGAAGAAAGGAAGAGGGCAACTGTGTATCAATGGAATTAAGGGTGTATTTTTGTGGCCTAAAAAAAAACAGATTTCAGGCAGAGTACCAGGTAAAAATAGCATATGAGAGAATGAATGCACACAGTAGCCTTTGTTCCCTCCCAAAACCTTAATGAAATAATAGTAAAGGATAAATTTTTAAAAGGCAATGACTCACAAGAATAAAGTATGAGAAAATTTTGGAAAGTGAAAACCCCTTAGATGAAAAACTAATTTACATTAAAGAAAGCTGAATTACAATGCCAGCAATGGGAAAGCAGAAATGTACCTTGATTTATATCACAAAACTCCCAAAAGGCCCAAGAACTGTTTACACCAGGAAACTATGTGGAGGTGAAAGTGGGACTAAAAGGGGGGTAATTCGAAAGACTTGTGTAAGAAACAAATAAACAACTAGATGTGCTCCCTCCTCCATGTATGCAAGGAACTGCCCCACCCTGAAGCAGGTAGGACTTGGGAGGATAAACAGATCGCATCTGAACTGAGCTGCATCGGGCACAGTTAAAGGCTTGGATACCTTACTGAAAACAGAATTATTAAAGTTTATGCACATAAAGTTGAGACTATCAAGCCTTCCTTCCCCACTCTATTCCCAGAAAATTGGCAATCTGGCTTATATCCACACAGTAGAGGACATATAGGACTTCTCAGGGGAATCTTATGTATGTATGAGAAAAATATTAAAGAACGTATTCCCCAATGTAACAACAGCCCACCTAGATCACAGTAGAGTGAAGCCCACATTCAATAAGCTCTCCCCTACTCCCACTCCCCAACAGATCTTCCAATCAGTTTTTCAGGGTCCCACTCTTAAAAAAGAGCAGACAGCCAAGAATTTGAGAAAACTTTTAATATCAAAGATGTCAAAGGAATATTCAATCAAAAATGGTATTGGACATTAAATATATGATAGTAGGAAAAAAGAAAGAAAGAAAACTAACTAGATAGGTTAGACAATAAACTTGAGGAAATCTTCCACATGGAAGAACAGAAGATGGTATATAGGAGAGTAAATATAATACCAGGAGACTAATCCAGGAAGTCTAACATCCAAATAACTGTATTTTCAGAAAGAGAAAAGGAGTTGGAAGAATCCACAAATAACTCAAGAAAAATTCCCAGAACCGGAGAACTTGACTTTCCATACTGAAAATTCCTAAGTAACCAGCACAATGGATGACCCACTCCAATATACATTATTGGGAAAATTTAGAGCATTACAAAGAGAAGATCCTAAAAGGTCTGGGGTAGGAGGGAATGAATACATGTTAAAAAGAAGAAGAACCACAATAGCATTACATTTTTTACCAACTTTTGGAAAATAGAAAACAGTGAGCCAATTCCTTCAAAATAATTCTAAGGAAAAATTATTGCCAACCTAGAAATCCATATCCAGTCAAACTATTAATCGAGTGTGAGGAAGAGACACGTAAAATCTCTAAAAATGTATCTCCCACACGTACTTTCTCTAGAAGGTACTTAGAGGTGATAAATCAAGAATGAACTCAGGAAATAACACAT